AGGAATAAAGGTTGACATTTAAGACTCACGCTATGACAATGGTCCAAACAAATGGTAACCGCCAGTCGTTGATAGCGAAATCATTAACAATGACGCGGAGGTATCGCACGGGGTTGTAATAAATAACCAAGCCGCAGTAGCACAGCCCTGAGATCATAAGCGCAAAGCTCCAAACAAAATCCTAGATGAGAAACAGAAGTGCGTTTTCACTACGTTAAAATGGACACCGAAAGCAGTGAATATCGGGCTTACTTGATTAGACAGAATATTAACACTGATGGCGGAGGGTACACCCACTAAAAATGTGGCCACCAGCGATCCGACTGTTGCCCAAATTCGTTTTACTAAAAAAGAAAAGAGTTTTTTGCCATCAAATACATCATTTCTGCTTACCTACCACCAAAATCTTGAATGGTTCTTGCCGTAAGCTCGATGTAGGCAATCATTGAACTGATGCCGGCAAACGACAAGCAGAGGAAGAACAATCCACAGAGAACCCTCCCCATAATTCCCAGCTTCGACATGAGCAAAGGTATCCTGATGAAGGGAAAAAAATTGGCAAATGGCTTGATACTAGCCTATCTAAATGGGATACAATCAGATCTTTCGATAGAAAGTAATAGATTTCACAACGGCAATCGGAGAACACACGGTAATATGGTATCATAGAAGCCCTGATTTGGAATATGTGAATCCTTACGCTGTCAGAATAGCGGAGGGAACTCGACCGACATCGACAAGCAAAAGGTCGGACGGTTTAGGAGTGAGATGTTATTGTACGGTTTTGTCATCGGCTACACATGGCACTTACCAGGTGAATGTTAGACCCGTACTTCCTGGACCACTCTCCTTCATTATGGCAATAATTTGCGGCATCGTGAGAGTCGGTGACGTCTGAATTAGTGTGGAGAACACGGTCGCAAATATGGTCAATCCACAGGTTAAACTAAAAGAAAATACGCAGGTTTGATTCTGCCTCCTTACCGAGTCAAAATTTAGGAAAAGCTAAGTAAACGAATCCGTCTCATGGATGCTACATTGGTGGCAGCGGAAAACGAACCCATTCACAAAGGACAATTACCCAGACTTCTGCAGCTGGTGATATACCCTGGCGTGACGGTTAAAGTGCCTATGCTGCGGATGGGAGAATCTACGAAACCTCGACAACGACAGCAGTCTCGTGTTCTCTGGGAATGCAATTAACAACTGAAGCGCGACCTGGATAAGTTCGCTGTGGAGCTGCCCATAGTACTTGCATGAAAATGCCAACTATGGACCTCTTTGGGGCTTCGCCATTGCATCCTTACTGGGTGGCCTGGTCTCCGGGCCATGGCAGTAGCCTCCATGTCCTTATACACATACTGCCCGGGTAGTGTGCCACCTTCCGTCTTTAGGGAAGCCTCGGATCATCGATGAAATATTCCAAGAGAAAATCCACATGGTTTACATTGTGTATTTATTACTACTTTCTTAGATAAGGTAAGCGTATTGATGATGGAGGTTTCGGCTTTTACAATATCCTACCTCACTAGATTGTTGATCACAGGTAGGATGACACTATATCGAACAGCTCCGGTGTCTCGGCTGAAGTAGGCAGCATAGGCGGAGAAAAGACCCATTCCAGCTGCTGTGTCAAAGGCATTTTGACAAGCTGCTTCAACATAGAGTTTTGGATCAAGGAAGGTTCCTGCATTAAAATAAAAGAAAAGGCAATGACTTTTCAAAGGATTTATTCTTCGATGGCTTCGACATGATTGTAAATGCGTACCCCAGTCAGGTGTATACATAAATTTTATCCCAATCTCAGCATATTCTCGAGATAAGGACCAGTAGAAGACAAGAATGACTATGAGGAGTTGAAGTGGAACCAGCACTCCATTGGCGATTTCAATGCCTTTCACGCCTTTGAATACAGCGACTCCACACATCAGGAGACAGAGGGTGTGATTAAACAAAGGCCAGTAGGTTTGCTAAGGAAAGGTCCACACAAAGTTAGGGAAATACTTTACTGCACTATTGAACTATGTGGAGAATTGAGACGTACGATGAAATTGTCGAAGATAGCTCGGCTCTCCGGTTCGGTGGAGGGGAGGTCGGGCCAAGCACATGACACGTAGAAGTAGTAGAAGCACCATCCCACGACAACAGAGAAGTAGGCACTAAATTTTGACATGAGGATGAATAACTTGGTGAAGTCTGAAGTCTTGTCGAGGGAAGCGACTTCCGTCTACCTCTCCCACGTATTTTTTTTCACTGTCTATTTGTCATGTGGATGGAGAAATGAATGGGGATGACAATCATTCAGAGCGATCTCATCAGGAGGATGCGACCGCATTAGTCTACCTCCCTCCCTCCTACCTCATCCGAATGTGCGGGAAGGCGTGGGTATGAGGTCTGCCCACGGTTAAGGTGTCTAATATGCGGCTGGGGGTCACGCACTGTGATAGCGGGCAAGGACAAGAAGCAGAAGATTTGGAAAAAGAAGAAAATTCTCTCCAGACTGGTTGACTATTCCCACTAGTTCCCTAGAAGGAAGTAATCTCACACATCTAGTTGTATTGTGCTGTATCAAGTGAATGCAACTACGATGCAATTGCCACTTAACCTTTGCCAAGGGAACGATACCTAACGAAGAATTGCGTAGGCGGTTCCCCCACAAGCACACGCTCCCACTTCTTGTAGGGATGGTGTGGTGCGTGCCAAAAATGTGTAGAGGGGCGTGGTGAGCGGGAACAACCGATGCTTTGTGCGTTCTCCCATCAAACGATGTAACATAAAGACCATAACTGTTATTTCTAATCACATTTCAGCCAGTCAGTGAGTAAACTGTCAAAAATGAATGCAAGAACCTTTCCGGTCGCTTGGTGTATCCAAACTGCCAATTGTCAGGTTATGATCATGATAGCGAGTCAAAGTGAAGAGCATACAGGCATGTCCCTAATTCGTGTAAAGATAGTGAACCAACAGACCTGATCATAAATGCAATTGAAGTGACCCAAGATCCAACCCAAATGAATTTGTCACCAAGAAATTTGTAAAATGCCACCACTGGAGATCCACGAGTAAACCTGCCCAGGGTGTACTCCGTCACAATGAGGGGGATAGACCAGGTGAAGAGGAAGAACACCCACGCCAGTATGAAAGTGAGGCTTCCTAAAATAGCAATATACACTCCTGTTCTAAAAAATTCCATTAATTTTTAATTGGACCAATTAAATTAAAGCATTTAATCGGTCCTACTTTCATCGGTTCGGTTTGACATTTAAAAAGTTGTGTTAGGCCTGCACTTCTTGCTCTTACCTGAATCGCAACTGGCAACTGCTACCATCCGAGGAAATCGCCAGATATTCCCCGTGCCCAGCACGCATCCAAGGCAGGAGAGGACTAGTCCAACAGAATAGGTGAAATTTGTTGGCAGCACTGTGCTCTGGCCCTCCTGATGATTGCCACCGCCTCTATCCTAAAAGGTTAAGCAGATGTGAAGATATGCGATAATGCCATACTTCAATCACAAAAAAAATTAACAGCCTCTGTGGCGGCCCGTCTGGGAGGCAGTGAAGTCACAAGGAAGGACGGGCTGAATGTCACTGAGGCTTGGTAGATGGCCCACGTGCACGTGACTAGACAGTTATCACCGTCAGTGATCCAGCAATGCCCAATGTAAAATAATTTCATTGCCATGGCCACTTCTACGCCTTGACAAGACTGACAAGGCCGAGGTGAGTTTACGCCAGAAAGTTGGATTTGTGGATGGTTAGTGCAATGTTTCACCTACCTCATTGCTGGAGTTTTTTCCTCTCTCTCATCCCTTACCCACCTTACCGACCCTCTAATGGTAAGAAAATATGCGCTTCACTCCATTTTTTTCCTCCAAGGCCTCCTTATCCGAAGAGATAAAGTAGTAAATTACTTACGTCTGCTTCACAAACATTCTCTGCCGAATTGACCGCGCTATCCCGAATCACAGTGCTTTGACTACACCCGAGGTTGACGGTTCCGGGGACAGTGGCTCGCATAAAAGGTGTGGCTAATTTGCTCGACTGAAGCATCGCTTAACCTTGACCGAGAGAGAGAGGAGGGAATGAAAAGGTGAGACTGAGTGAAGCGTGCCAGCACCTGTGGAGGCGCGTATTGTCCTGTTGGTTTTTCTGCTAATTTTATATCGTATCAGTAGGCACAGCTTGGAGGCGTTGCTACACACCCAGTCAATTTGATTGGCTACATCTGCCTTATTTACTGATTGGTCCACCCACTTTCCCAATGGCCAGGTGCTTGGCAAGTGTTAGGCAAGTGGTCGCGTGGAAACCACCTGGGACCAATTTTTTCCATTTTATGTTCTACGTCGTTAAATCTACAAATCCCCGCTTGGATGAAAGGAAATAAAGAGTTCTTTACCAGTTTGCTAACAATATAGGCCTAGTTGTGTCATTTGGCCCTCGCGTTTTTTTCTGTCACCTCTATAGCTACAAGGAATTTATCTGTAGATTTACATCCCTCAAGGCGACTTCACAAGGTAGATGTGATTGTTTGCTGGGAAATGCTACTTTAATAAAGGCCAAACAGCAGGTCTATACGCGCAATACAGCTGGCGGATGGGTAAGGAAACTTCCTCTTGGGAGACAGGTAGGACTAGTCAACCAGTCAGAAGAAGGTTCTCTCATTCTTCTTTTTATCCTTGCACGACATCAAAATGCATAGCCCCTGTCCCACGTAGGAGAATCGCCCATTTGGGTGAGGTAGGACGAAATTGACGATGACGATCCTCATGGTCATTCTCCTTTTGAACCTGATGATATCGCTCTGAGTGGCTGTAACCTCTTCTTGGTATTATCACCAAACAGTCACACACCACAGCATGACAAATAGATGGTAGACAGAGGAAAATACAAAGGAGAAATGAAACGCGGCTGTTAAGATAAGTACATTCATTTTCCAAAAAAAGAATTTGATAGTGGTAAACAGGAGCTCGTGCCTCGCTGGAGAGGCACGAGGGGGTGTATTGTAAGGAGTCCTCTGCGGTCACCTAATTATTGTGTAAAAAACCGCTAGGACACATTCACCGCATAATTAGAAGGCGCCGTTTCCATCACAATTTGGGCTAATTTGCCTTTTCCATGCTCATAAAATCCAGCATATAAAAAACTGCAATTTTAAAATACATCCTCGAATGAATTCTTATTTTGCCTACTGAATTGTGAATTACCCCAAATAAGTGGCATAACCAATCTCCGGTTGGGACCTTTTAATGACCTCTGCCTGGAAGAAATCTTATCTCTAAACGCAAGTGTTTTTAGAAAGGTGAACGAACATTCGCGTTTCGTCCTCTTCCCGGTTGTTACCTAGCTGGAAAGCATTTTTTTGAACCACCAAGCCACAATTTGAGTAGAGATGGTGCAACCGAATAATTTGTACGATGTTATCTTCCATGAAAGAAGTCAGTCGCCCTTTTGTGGGTACTGTCGATCCAGCAAAAGAGATTATTTCACTATTCGTATACATTATTTCCTCTGTTGAAGCGCCTGTCCACGCCTTTCCTTGAATGCCGAATAGCCAACCGAGGCATAAGACGCCACCGAGTTGTCGTCCACTTAACAGGGCTTTGAAATGCAATTCCTACAATTTTAGAATATACGGTGGCTCTCGACCAACTTATATTGTCGCGTAGTACCTTGAATCGCACGTGAGGAAGCAACACGACATACCTGTGTACAGAAGGGCTAGGAGGTCACAAGCATGGGGTGCTACACACGACCACCCTCTGTATCCCACATTTAGAGTCCTAAAAATAGTTCTACCTCGTGACCGGACGACAAACTGCACAGCGGTGCGCCTACAGATGAAGTGAAAAAGTTGTCTAACACGTACATTGTTACCAGTGTTCTACAACTCTGGAAAACCGAGGCAATCTGTCTTGACGAGAAAGAAACCAAAAACCACGATCCCGATAAGACCCCCGTATTTGGGCGAGGGAATTAGGCCACCTGATCGCATGAGACGCAGCCATCAAGCCAATGACATGAAATAAAGCAGGAGCTAATTCGAGCAACACAAAGCAGGTTGGATGTTGATAAAGCCCAATTCTAAATCCGGATTCACAATTCCCATTAATTTTCACCTCGGCTCTCAGCATCACTCTCATCACTGCTCGTCGGAAATTCCCACTAAGATATCACAAGGCGTGACAACTTTTGATTGAAGGCTTCAGTTGACTTACTCGCCCAATCTTACTTTCATTCAGGTAGCCAACATGCTGTGATGTTTCACGTAGCCGATGGCTAGCGCCTCGCGTGAGATGCAAGGCCAGTGCGATGTGACTCACATCCGCAACGCACTTTTACAATGATATCCGTATTTCAATTAACACCGCAACTCACAACGGTGCCTGACAAAAGACAGTTTAGTAATTTGTAGACAAATTGGGATCAGTCACATCTTTTCATATCAAGGTGGAAGAAGCCAGTGACGCTATTTTGATTGCACGAATGCTGCAGTATCAAACGTTTTAAGTAAACTAGAGTCCGTGTCCAAAATTCAACACCAACCCTTACAACAGTATTCAAAGGTTAGTCACTAAGTCATAACTAGTGCAGCTAACAATTCAGCCGCCAATTTCAGTGGGCAGTTAAGCATGCAACATTTTCGGCTCTAAAGGAATTTCCGGCGCCAAATAACCCTGAAAAAGCAGCAAGACGCACAACACGATCATTATCTGTAATTTGGACGTTAGCCTACTGCTTTTATTACAGTAGAACAGAATGTATTGATGATGAACTTACGGCTACACCTGGGTGGATCTAAGGAAAGTATGGGGCCTGAGACCAAACCAGAGCTTATAAAATCACTGAAGACTATGTAACTACCATAACAATAATGAATGAGTGGAAAAAGAAATACATTCACACTTGGTGGGGGCATTCAGGTATAGGTCAACTGCAGGACCGCAGAACTTCGTATTTTACAAAAATCAAACAACATACTACTATGACCTCCCTTTTTAGTGAAAATATAAATTAAACTGAGCCTGATGATCGGCTACAAAGCTAGACTGGATTGATAAAATCCGAAGAAAATTAACTGGATGAATATGAAATCTGGCATCGCATCAGATAGTGATGTTTTGGAAAATAAATACTTGCCAGTAGCATTGAAAATGAGGAGAAGTAGTGACAGAACCTTGACAACAACCTATTAGGGCGAAAAATGTAACTAGTGTAGACATGCATAGCTGAAGGAAAACATGAAACACAAAAACGCCCTCACAACTGAAGCCGAATTAGGAAGCTTAACTCAAGTGTTTCCAGCGCGCATAAACAAGACGTGGGACACTTTCGACGCAACAGCAAAACATGCGATAAGTGTATGCAAAATGCGGACGTTTTACGAGATAAATATAGCTTAGATGATCCTATGACAGATAAAATCACAATTAATTGTCAATAAGTGTAACCGATAAAATAGTTAAGCCAGATAGAAAAACGCTATTCGAACAACGACAAATGAGGGCTAAAATTCCATTCACAAAATATATACAAGATTAGGTAAGCCTTCCTTGTCTACTTTTTGCTCAGCTTCCTTTTCTTGCGAAGGATTCGTTTCCGTCTACCAATATGCCGACGCATCTCTTTCTTATTCATCCATATAGGATAATTCCCGTGCTCATTCATTAAAGAAGGGGGCTTTTTAGTGATTTTGGTCCCCACTACTACAGAATACAGGAGGCAATTCAAAATGAAAATGAACCTACCATCCTCCTTCTTTACAACCTCAATTACTTCTGCCTTTGATGCATCAACATAAGGCAGACCTGTACCACCGACGGGCATATTTATGACCTTCTTAAGCAAAGCAACTGACTTTGGTTTAATCTTATGGCGCTTTGCCGCTCTAAACTTCCTCTTGACCTTACTGCGGCTACTCTTGGCCATCCCAAGCGTGCCCTCAAACCAAGTAGACCGCCTGAGCAGCAGGTTAACAAGACACGAACTGCAATCAGAAAAAATTCGCGCACAAAGGCTGTCTTTTTAACAAAAAGACCAGACAAAACAATACTTTAATACTATTAGATGTGGCTCCAATTTACGATGAGGAATTTGAAGTGACCGAAAATGGATTGTTTCCTCGAACCACCCAAACATTTATGCAAAATTTTAAATTTTGTTCTTTTGGATCGCACATGCTTGAAACATTTGAATTCACAAACCGGTAAATATATTTTTTCCCAAAAATTATCTCAAACTATATTTTGTAAGTGTAGAGTGACAAACTAAATCACCTCCAAGACATGGAGAAAACGAACTATCGATTAGTTATTTTGTTTATTGTGAATTTTGTCTTACTTTTACGCCTCTTATGGTACTTGTTTATTGACTTTGGCATTTTCTACCAGGAACTAGTTAAGAGCAAATTACCCATTTGTCATTTTGTTTTAGTCTCTTCGAGTAACGCCGACTTTAGAAAATAGTTGGGTGTCTTATTACGGTAGAGAAGCGGCCGGGATTCGGGTCTGCCTCACTGTCGCAAGATTTTGTTTAGTTTTTTCATCTTGGTACGATTAGTTTAACATTTTACTTTTTGTTGTAGTAGAATGATTCATTTCCTGGCGCTTTTTAGTCGCCAGGGTAAAGTGAGGTTGCAAAAATGGTTTATCTCATACACTGAAAAGGAGAAGAAGTCGATTTTGCGGGAAGTTATGAATTTAGTTCTTGCTCGCAAACCTAAGATGTCCTCTTTCCTTGAGTGGAAGGACATGAAATTGGTGTACCGGAGGTATGACCGGCAGCCTATGATGTCCCTCCTTAGGTACGCTAGTCTCTACTTCCTTTGTGCGATTGAGCCCGAGGACAACGAACTTTTAACGTTGGAGATTATCCATCGCTATGTTGAAATACTCGACAAGTACTTTGGAAATGTATGCGCCCCCTTTTTACCCTTTCAACCCTAAGGTGTGTGAACTCGACATAATTTTCCACTTTGAAAAAGCGTATTTCGTACTCGACGAGTACCTTTTCGCAGGTGAAGTCGAGGAAACAGGCTACCGGAGTATAATGGCAGCTGTTGATGCCCAAGATATGCTCCAAGAAGTTGTTCATTTTCCTTCCTTTTACCCCTTTTCCTTAGGATGAAGTTCCGCAGAGCTTCTTTGAGGACCAGAGCTTAAATTGATGTGCGTTACCTCGGATTTTACACACTCATTTGCTCCCCTTCCCAATGTTAATATTCAAGTGCAATATTGCAATTAAAAAGCCAGTTCGTGTAACGAGCATTACTTCGGTGTGTGAACCAGTGACAGGCCCTAGCCGTGCTACCCCCTCTTCCCGTACCTCTTTGGAGACTTTTTGACCCATTCACTGTAATTGTGAAACGGCGACTGTGTGTATTTCTAAGAAAACTGTTTTTAGCTTCCGAAAGCTGCAGTTAGCTTCTCTAGATTCATTCATCAACAGCGTTTTGCATGTTTTGTTGGATTCAACACTACAGCCTGTTATCACTAGGGGAGGGAGAATGGCATAACCGATGACACTGGGCCAGATAGTTAAGCAGAACATGGAACTGCCTACCCTTCGTCAGGCGTTTCTAAGTCCCAACTTTCGGGCCTAGTGATACGCGCCAACGCACCTTCATTAAAGGTAGATGTGATTTTCTTTAGGTGAAAATGACCAGAAATCTCTCGTAAGGTGGGTGGGTGTGTGTGTGTGTGCAGACGGGAGGGCATGTGGCATTTGAGCGAATTTAACGTGTGTGTGTGTGTGTGTGTGTGTATACGAGTGTTTGATGCTCAGGATGTACATCAGGCTTTCGAATCAGTAGGTTTTAGGCGAGACTCATTGTCTGCAACGATTTCTGCAACGGGATTGCAATCACATGGACTGCCGAGTCGTAAGGTGCCAGTCTTTGGGCGTAGTCCTCCTCAACTTTTGAATTGAACCTTAATGGAAGTGGAGCAGTGTTCAAGGAATTTACTTTACTCGTGAAATGTAAGTGGAAAAAAAGTCACGTTGTTACTATCGGTTTGAATCGTAGAACTGGGGGAAACATCCACGAAGCAGGAATTTCTTGCATCTGATGCATTTTTTAAAATAGGTTAATCTGCAGCACAATTTTGTGCAACCAGTTATTAGAAGTTGACAATGAAAACATGACACATTTCCAACGCCACATTCGGGCAGGAAATCCGAGCGTCACACATAGGTGATGCTGGTGATAGCACCACAAAAAATGGTGAACCAGCGAAAATTCCTGGTAAATTTTGTTAATATTTAAAGTGAATCCGTTATTATGTGTGCTTTGCTCAATCTGAATTGTTTAGCATAAGTCACTGAGCAGAGAGGACTGACTCACTCTGGAATCGCCTCGAAGATGCCCTCCGAGCGAGTTTCCCGAGGAAGGAGCTTGTGGGGGCTCGCGCTTCCATAGCTTAACAAGAGATTGAAATAATATTAAAAACAATGAATTCACTTGAAGGATGCAAATACCAGCTCATTGTGGATTGGAAGTACCTAAATGTGTTTCAGATTTCACCAAATGAAACTCGTTTTTCAGCCGGATAAGTGCGAAACGAAACAAAAGCCTTCTTGACGCGCTGGAGGAGCGAAATCTAATGCACGGGATTCGGGACTATCTGACACAGATGTGAAAAATTTGATGCTTATATTACTCATTCACTGCTAGTGGAGTCACAACGCCTCCTGGCGGCAATCGCAATGACTTCAAAGTGGTTATGTCGCAGCTATGTGAGGCAGCACATTGCCTAGCAAGACATCCGTCTGCCAAGGGAATTTATACCGGCACTAGATTTAACAAGTATAGGAATAGGATCAAGCTGTCAGGATCACGCTGCTCCTACCACAAGTGGATCTCCGTGAGGGTTTGGGAAGGTCGACTTGGCTTCTCACAATTAAGATGTTGAAATAGTCTATCAAAGTTAGTAAAACTGCCCCATTGGTTGCAAAAAACAAGCTGAAGACGTTTTTAGCCATCGAATGAATGAGACATACTGCGAGAAAAAAGCCTTGTGTGTGGTTGTGGATGTATCTCACTGCAATTACTTGTTCCAACTTGTCGGGGCACCTGAACCACAGATAGGCACCAGTCTATCGGCACGGCGCACTTCATTGGCCTAAGTACAACCTCCCCTCAATTTTGAACCCTCAGAACGTGGCGAATGTGATACAACAGGGACTAATTCATTTCTCACACTTCCAGAAGCTTTTCATAAAATTTGCTGTATGGGATTTGCAGAAGGTAGGTACCGTCCAGGAGTGATTTGAAAAAATCAAGCACTTATGAAGCAAAGATTAGCGGATTACGGTCAGAAAGGTACTCTCTTCCTCGTCTTCCACAAGCGCTTCAGATGGTTAGCTCGCTGAGTGACTGACGGATTTGGGATGGCGAATGGCCTTCATGACATCGTTGTTAAGCCATTGGTCATCCTCAAACTATCTGCTTACCGTCTACCCCACCTCATCGCTATAAATCCAGGTTGGTTTGTATGTGTGGTAGATTGGAGGCACAACTGGTCACTGGAAGGTGCTCACTATTAGAGCGGGCTCTTGCTGAAAAGGCGGTAACACGAGCGTACCTACACGTGGCTGTGGGCACAACCCATGACAAGCGGACGACCCGTGAGCAGCCATCTGATTGGCTCCTGAGCAATCGCTATCCATATTTGGGCATCCACAACCGTATACAAACTAATTACCTTTGTGCGTGTTCAGTCTGGAAAGTAGAGTGCTGTTTCTGCAGCCTTGACCTTCATTATCTGGTTTTGGCTTCTTTTTTCCGGTTACAACACTTAGTGAGAAAGAGGCAGGACTAGTCATTCAATCGGAAGCAAAGGCCTCCTTGTATCCTTACAAAACTAAGCAAAATGGGAGGGGCGAGACATATTGCCTCATTTTTATCATCGTTTGTGACATCCAACTTTTTACCGGCCTCACCGCTAGATAAACGCACTTGGGAGATAAAGGTGAAGCAGAAGCGGAGGTGACTAGAGCAAAAGCCGTGTTGTTTCTTTGGGAAATCGTCTGCAGTTATTTTATAACAAAAAACTCCCCAGATTATTTAGCCACCACATAAAAGCGTTTCATAGATGGATGGTATGCTGGTAAGTCATTTCGAGGCCTTACCTGATCCACAGTATTTGCATCCTCTTCGTGTCCCAATGACGAGTCCTTCATGAACGAGCCGCTCGACTCCTTACGGGCAAATCAAGTGTTTAAATGCATACTCATTAACTGGGAGGAAGTAACATTAAATGGAACACTACTTACTTGCAACTTATCCAACCCTCTGTGGAGGACTTCATCAGTTATGTTTGATTTCGGTGAGGAGGATCGGAAGGGTTGGTCCACTGACGGAGAAGGTATAGACTTGGTAGTATTACCGCCTTTAAAAGATGCACATTTCACAGCACAACAAGAATACTTTAAGCTCCAACGTATAGATGAGCTCTAATATTCGTTAGGAAAGTGTGTTTGATAAAATTAGCTCTTGGAAAATATAATAAATATGTGGCTTAAAAAAGCATGGTAACAAGAAAACCAACAAGTACTTGCGTAGGATGCACCACAATGGGAAATTGGCGTGCTGGCCGCCCGCAAGGGATGGGAGATATCTGAGGCGTTGTTGTTGTTAGTCTGGCGTCGAGATCTTGGAATAGTAGTGGGGAAGCTGGGGCTCATTCGATCACCATCCTCCACCACACCTGTCGAGGTCTCCGTAGTCTCAACGAACGCGCAGGCGCGTGGTAGGGAGCTGTGGCGTTTGAAGGTGAAGCAAAGTGACACCTCCTCCGGTTGGCTCTCATCCACGTCCGCGTACACGAGCTGGTTGGTTAGAAAACCATCTAATGAAAGCGTGTCGTGTCTCAGGGCGACACTACCACAACTCACTGCATAAAAGATCCAACAAACGCCTTTCTATTAATCAATTAAGAGGAATGTGTATGACGAGAAACAATAAAACAATGCTAAGCTGGTAAAAAATACACTAAAATCATAAACGTTCAAATACCACTCCTCATAAGTTTAAGTAATGCTAAAAATTATTCACACACCTTTCCCATTCGTGGTTCACCGACTGCCTTCTGAAAGTCCACATTATTTCTGGTGTAAGCCTTCACATGCGCCACCAAGTGCTCAAGTTGCATTCGCCATAAACCTTAGTAGGAATAAAAGATGAGCGAAACACGTTGTAGGTGGACGCCAAATACCAATTAAGAGACGCAGTCCACTTTCGACTTGGTTATTTATGGTCGTGCTCTACTATACGGCTAATTTGATCCTTGGCTGTTGATGGTCCTAGGAAAGGCACAGCTTCTAGCTTCAGCATCAAAAACAACTAATGCAATCGTCAATATTAGAAAATTCTAGTTTCACAGGATGGCGAAACCATAAAGCGCTATTATGGTATTTATTTGTTATTAACACATTATTTGACCATAATTTTACTTTAAAATTAAACTGGGGGAAAGGTAGTGTCGATGTTTAAAGTGCGCGACCTCTAAGCCCAACCGACTCCGCGCTTAACCGTATGGCATTTCATCAACCCTGCCTGAAGCAACCCCATTTATTCAGTAAGTTGTCGAGAGACAATCTAGGTGTCACATTTGGATTGACTATGCACGATGTAGAACAGGTCGAACACTTTCAAACTAGACTACAAAAAGTAGTGATTTTAAAATGCTTTTCTAAACACATTTATTGTCCAAACAATGAAATTCTACCAACGCCTAAGTGATGTTGACTGTATTAAAGTAAAACAAGTCTAGTTAGTATGTTTGCCACCAGCGTCACAAATGGTGTCACAAAGGAACTGCTTAGATCTAAAACAATGAGGTGGATAAGAAGTTTTTCTGATTCGACCTAGCAGTCTTTGGAAAAACAAACAACAAACATGAAACAGCAAGTAGGCAATCAAGTAAGTTACTGGTAGTCATGATCAAACTACAAGTTATGAACTCAAAGTTAGGAGCGTTGTTGACAAACCTTTGCCTGGACTGACAAAACCCATCATATGGGGTCGCGATCTGGGCGGGCTCTTGATAGGGTGGTCAGGAGATACGAGTGGTTTGCTGTGACCGCCTCCGAGGTAGAAGAGCCCCACTGTTTGAGTGGACACTGTTCTGTTGGCACGCGGCGTCAGTGAAACTAGTGAGTGGTTTCCTGACTCAGAGGCACGGGTGCTGGGTCCTGTGAGTATGTATGCAAAATAACCAGAGTCTTGGTAAAATTAGCTACACAGGGTGGGAGCTTGATCAACAGGTTCGCTAGCCTAGTAGCCTCGCAAGTATATTAGCATTCAATAGCACTAAAAAGTCGGTAGGTAAATGACAGACACATCATTTCTCGTACAGGGCCTTAAAATTAAATAATTATCCATACTGTCCAAAATTATGATAAGTGGTCTCAATGACAAAAGTATTCCATCCATTGAACGAAGAAGAACTCACCTAGCGAAAAGTCACACACAGAGGATGTTTCCGAGGCTCCAGCAAAACCAAATCCACACTGGGAGCAGAAACGCGAGTCACGAGGTGTTTGCCAGTAACACTTGGGACAGACTGCGTAACTCTGGAGTTGACTTGCTAGATCTACATCACAGGGCTCCTGAATGCCGCACCAGTCGCAAAACCGTGCACCCAACGAGTTCTGCCGCGAGCAGATCCGGCAACCGGCCACCAACCGACTGGAGAACGTCGTATTGGTGGAGGTAGGGGGAGGAGGGGGTGATGGCGATTTCTGTGGGTTGCGGAGGAGTGAGGAGATGTTTATAAGATTGGTTGCAGTAAGGGGAAGAACTGCCTCACAGGTGAGACAGAACTTGACTCGAGTTGGATTGAGCGAACCACAAGCGGAGCATAGGCGACGATCCATGCTATCCGGTTCTCCGATCTACCAAAAAAAGAATAAAGTGGACCCGCATCATCTTCACTAAGTGACAGTCACTATCATGCAGGGGTGATAAACTCACCAATGCCTTTTTTAAGTGTCCTTTGGGTGATTCGCAGACCAGGCACTTATTGGCATTCACCACCATTCTAGAGCCGCAGGTGATGCAGACGTTCGAGTTTGCGATCTTTTGTGCAGGAGCGATGATAGGACTTGGTAGTCGTGGCAAGGAGGTGCCGCATGTCGCACAGAATGCTGCGTCAGTGTCAACCGGTCTCGAGGCCAGGCATGTTGGACAGCTTTGCGACGGTTACAATAAACGCTACTTATGCAATTCAAGTAGTAATTCGCATATTCATAACTCAAAAACAAGGGATTTAAATATCATGAAATATTTGCAATGAAAGTAAAACTGTACTCTAGCAATAAATGAGAATAAGCACTCAAGTTGAGAATATACTTAAAAATGTCAACCGCCCTCTGCAAACGATTAATACGGCATAAATTCACGTTGGGTGATACTTTCTTTGGCTTGTCTCCCTCAACGGAAATTACAGGGAACCGGTCTTGTGCCCATGACTGTAATCAAAAAAGAAGTATGATTATATTCCTCAAACTGAAGAAGCAGTTTAAATGCATTATGCACAAAGAGCTCATCTGATTACAACGTCCGCTTACAGTTGTCTCCACAGCCTTGGTGAGTCGGCCTTCAGGTGATTTTGAGATAGATGACTTCCGAACGACATCCTGAATAAAAAAATAAAAATTAACATAAACTTAGTACGACTTAATCTCCCAGCTGCAAAAATATACGACCCGATTTTCCTCCTCTAGTGGCAATTGGTGGCGCCAAATTCTGAATCACAAGTAGACTGGGTGATTTTAAAGCAACAGAATATAAACAGGGACTCCCTGGTCTAAGGATATCGCCATGTTTATACTTTTTAGCCAAGTAAAATCAAACAAATGTAGTGTCTCATTGGAATGCTAGACCATCAGATGTGTACAAAATCGGTTTCAGCTTTGCCAAAAAATGAAGGCTTTGTTTCATTTGCCTTGACACTCTAAAATATTTCTTAGATTTCAAGTCCCAGATTTGACCATGCCCGCATTAAATACAAAAAACTAGCCAGCCTGATATAAATACAATTTATGCCACTATACCCGAACATAATTAATACGAAAGATTCATCCAAATTCTAGTTCATTAAACTTATTTGAAAGCCAGAAGTGCTTTTAACGTCCCAAACACGATAATGTGGAAGAAAAATTGAAAATATTTTTGAATTACAAGACGAAAAACACAAACTCACCCCAACTTCTTTTGAATTCTTCTCAACTTCCACTTTGTCTAGGAGGAAAAACCCAAGGGGAGACCATCTTACCTTTTTTTGGAATGGAATTTTCTTGCTTAAAAAGGGTATTAAAAATTTAATTAATTGATGAGATAAATAACCATTTCAATCATATTTAATAGCCTCGGAGATGTTAGCGCCTGCTAGAACTAAAGCAGACAATTTAGGCAAGGATCTAGATGGGCAATTAAGCTACCTAACATTCTGTTTAAATATATTTTTAATTACACGGACACTCCAGCCCAATCAATAGCACCCCCACCCCCTGTGTGTTTATAAGTAGCATAGTCTTCCACACTCTTTTGGATTACTCGAATCTCGGGAAAAGCGCTGGATACAGCGGGTCTAACCGGGTCAAATAAATGATACAGACCAGCATGCTTTGTCTCTTAAATGAGGAAACGGGAGTGAAAAAGAAGTTGTTTGAGTGCAACCAGCCTACCCAGCCCTAACTGTAAGCCGGTAATTCATATTCTACCCTAGGATTGTGACTTTATTCATCTCCGGGAAAAACTCGGGTTCCTACAATTTCCTTTTATTTTCCGCTCCGAGCTAAAACTCTGGGAATGCAAACGTGTGAAACAACACAGCACAAAAACGCCGGATTAGGCAGGTCAGATTCGACCTAACAAATCATTGGGTTTATGGGATAAAAGGCCAAACAAAATCCAAGGAAGGTGTTTCAACCATTGCAATCAAAGTAGAAGCATCTTACCGTACATGAGTTGCGTCGTTCATGTTTTTCTCCTAAATTGGGAAGCAAAGGAGTGGATGAATGAGCAGGAAGAGCCAACAGAAATAAGCGAAAGCTACTCCGGGTCACAAAGCGTATATTGACAAGGCAGAGGAGGCTACAGAGGACGAGTCACGCGGCCAAAACACATGAGAAGAGTGGTTAACCACTTGTCACGCCTTTAAATCACATAGAGTTGAAGCCAAACTGTAAAAGCGATTGCTGCGGTCGTGTACACAGCCAGTTTATGAAAGAAAATTCGTGCGTACTCTTTGCAGCAAAGGTTAAATGGTTGGGGACAACCTCTTAAGACATTCTCTTCTCGAAACAATCGCCTTTCCAATCTGTTAGCGAATGCTTCATCAACATAACACAAGTTTGCAGATCTCACCTGAAGAAGTAAGGAGGATGAAGACGGGACAGGATCCCTCTTACTAAATTTTGTGATTTCTTGCGTGGCTCTTCGGACTGAGAAAACGACCTTCTTTCGGCTGACTGCCTATCCCTGGTCGAGGTATATCAAGTAGATGAATTGCAGCAATAACTGTTATTTGACCCTCGACGAGTGAATGACCCATAATGAAAGATGGAGGCTTTCTAAACTTTCGATTTATCACCAAAGTCAAAGCATTTGAACCACCTCTAAACGGTACGTCTTATCATCGCATCTTTTTTAAATGTAATTTCGGGACCGAGTCAAACTGCCTACGTAAGGCGAACAGGTCCAAATTACATCCTTGTTGTAAAAGGGTTGAAAGTGAGGAGAAAATATCGGAATGATCAAGTAAGAAGTCGCATGGCGATAGATTGCCACACATGTGACGCAAAATACGAAAAAAAGACCAGTCACAGCTTGCATGCCTCTACCAGTTTCAAGTCATTTTAGGGAGCCATGCTAAAGCAAGCGCGAATTTATTTTTTTGGTCACCCGATAGATTTCAAAGCACATCAAACAAAAGCGGTCACTTCAAGCAGAACAGCATTAAGCAATTCTGACAATTAATGCTTGCAAGCAGTAGAATAATTATATGTCTAGTGATTTCATGAGAAAAGAGACTTTACCTTTGTAAAATGCCTATTTGAAAATAAAAGGAGCTCATCTAGAGTACGTGGGTTTAAAGAGTAGGGAAGTGTAGTGTTCAAGTTAACGAATCTCTACAAGAATCATTAATAAAATTAGACGCATAAATGTGGTAAGGAACTATGCAGATTCACCATTTTTTGGCTTTGGAACCAAATTTGATTTCTTGACATTGGCAATGGGTTTTCGGTGCGGCAATGAACTATGCGGACGAGATACATCTCTAACAGGTATCTACAAAAAGAGCAAACAAATATAGGATGGTATTCATAAGCATATAGATAAATATCATACAAATCAAACATGAAAGTGCAGAGAAACTAGCCTTCGTCTTATTGTTTTTCAATTCATCCAAGAAATCATAGTCATCCGATCCGGGACACGGATCATTGCCATCGGCACCCTCGCCTGAAGTTGCCAAAACATCGAAGGTCTTCGTTACAACATTGCTTTCCTGATTAGTGTCACTATAAGGACAAACAGATAAAATAATGTTTATTAGCGAAAGCAGGCTGCAGTTAAGCGATAATGCAGGAAGGATGGTACTGAGACAATGTAAGTAGCCAAAAGAGGGTACCACTAACGGGATGAAAGCTAGCGCCTTGATTGTTTTCGCGCCGGCTGGGAGGGTGAATGGCCCTCGAAAAAGGTAGGTTGGCCCAGACTGCGGGTGACGAGGCTTCCACGAGGTGGGATCCGGTCTAGATCCATCAATCGTGAAGTAGACTCGTGCCAACGGTGTGTCAGTGGAGATTTCCACTTGTGTAGAACTATCAATCGAATTTTTGTACTGGCCCTCGACCGGGAGTCGGAGAGGCACTATGAGAGGAGCTCTCACATGACCCGCTGGCATGTCGTGAAAAAAATCTGTAACGAAAAGGCAATAACGGACAGCTATGGCGTGAAGATACGTGGCAGTATCAGCAAATCTGTGGCCTGCATGAATGTATTTGTAAACGGCATTCACATTCCAGAAATACGTCAAACTCAACGTTAATAAGAAAACATGTCACCATTATTCACAGGTAATTCAACGTCAAATACTAATACGACCTCATAAGAGGAGAGGCAACATTCGTTTACAGAGGCAAGGAGATGAAAGAATAAACAAAACCCCAAAACACCCAACATTAAAGACAATAAAAAGGGTATAAAGTACATTTATTTTCAAAAAATAGTCTAGAGTAGTATCTTATGAAGTACAAATAATTTGGATATTGACTAGAACCAATGATTCGCTTGACAAGTTCTGGACCAAGGGGAGTGACATATCCAGCACCATTCGAAACCACAAACAGTGCACACCATGTGATTACAACCGCCATCTTTATTGGTCTGACTGCAACACCGAGGGCAGCTCTTACAGGTCACTGCAATGAGAGAGGAAGTTGCCAAATCCGAAGAGTCTAACTGGACACCACTCCAAGTACCAAATATTCCACAACGAGTAATCTGGTCAAGCAGTGATCGCTCTGTAGTTGCTTTACCTTGTCTACATGTGCATCGAGAGGGGTTACCTTCACCGGAGACAATACTGCGACAATTGGAACAAAATTCCACTCCACAGCCGTATGGCTCCTCACAAGTGACCCAGGCGTTCTGAGCTTTGTCATCTGGTCTTTCCCAAAAAGTTCCACAATTGGGACAAGATAAACAACCTTCTGTGTAGCAGAAGAGTTTAGCGGCGAACTCCTTGTAGCGGGAGTAGAACACTTTACCTAGAATACGAAAAAGATGGGTATCCGAAATGTAAGACACCGGGCATCCAAGCGGACAAGGAAGAGTATAACCGATGTCAGAAATTAGCACGTATCTGGCGTCGGATAGGTAGCTTTCAGCATAAGTGCGAAAGCAGTCAAGGCAGAGGATGTGGCCACGGTTTTCACAAAACTTAACCACGATGTCGCTGGCTTTGCTGCAGCACGCAACGCATAACAAGTGGTCGAAGTTTCTAAAAACTTGTTTCAGGAAAATGGTTGGACTGTGGGTTACATCCTTTGAGCAGTTGATTGAAACTTTGGCGGAGGTGTTGTTGCATTCTTTGCAGGTGCCACTTACTGCTTGAATCTCAGGGTTGGCAATATCAGACAAAACTTCGAAGTTGGGAGAAGCACATTTGTCACAAACAGTGGTAAATACAGCGGGAGTCACATTATCACAGTGATAGCAGAGAACGTAGCAGTTGTTGATAGTGGAGTGTGGAAGAACATCAATGGAAGCATCATCAGATATCAAGAAAGCAAAATTAGAAACTCCGTCCCAATCACTCAGTTGAACGCCTTGGTGGGCAAGAAAGTGGGTATGGGGATCGCAATCAAGCTTCGAGCAGACGAGCTGTTTGAGAAACAGTATGCTCCAACCTTCGTTTACATGCAGTGACACAGACTTGTCATTAAAACGAAAGACCACGGGCATTGTAGAGATATACATTAAGCTAAATAAATTTAACTGCAATAAGTGATGAGCCAGCATGATTCAAAAAATGGAGTTTGCGTAGCAAATTAACATGTCAAAATAAATTGTAATATGCTAAACAAAACAGACTACAGCATTCTATAAGGCATCCTTTAGCACACTAATATAATTGGCATTGTATAATAAGGGCTCAAAACCCAACTTAAAGTGAACAATCGGATGTGAGAGCAAAAAATCCATGAGAACAACTACCCCTGTGGCATAACAATGAGCAATGAGCGTGGGAATGAACTCAGACATATTGAAGCTCTTACCTATTTAGCAACAACTGTACACACCGGTTAATAAAACATCATTGGAATTTGACAGACTGAGATCTGTTTACACACAACGGCGCGCAAACGCACAC